GTTGATAATGGCTCCTTATCTCACTCTAAACGCTCAAGTGCACTAGGGTTTCGCTCTGGGGGCTGGTGAGCACAAATGACGACCATAAGGCCCTTTAAATAGGCCCCAAACCCGAGAAATTAGGGTTTCATTAAACAGCACGGACTCGCCGAGTCCACTAATGCTACTCGTCGAGTCCAGTCATTAATCCGGATGAGAAATCGCATCTCTACTCGGCGAGTCTACGCACCAACTCCCCGAGTTCTTCCACAAAACTCAAAATAAAATGAATAAATATAATACCTAAAATTCCGGATGTTACATAAGCACTGGTAGTTCCTTATGCTACTAGAAGGCAAAGAATTAAGAAAACTTAAAGTTCAGCCCATGAAATCTAAATTAGAATTTAAATTTGTCATAAACCCGGTCTTATGATTGTAGGTTGGAAATGATAGATTTACATGGATGGGAACACATACACCATAAAATCTATGTGGCAAAAGGTTTCACTCTAATTCATGAAACAAAACTTGGACAAAGAGATTGATTATAATCCATGTCTCATGTCTGTACGATATATTGTAGAATGGAGAAATATTTGATCACTTATCTCAAGACAAGTAACTGACTGGGTCAGAGTTTCACAACGCCTTTGAGAGTTATAATTTGCTAAAGTTTTAGAGGTTATATTGACAACTATAATTATTAGACTTATCCAAGTGGGAGAATGTTGGATTAGGTGTCTAAGCCCATCACTATAATTGGTATATACTTGAATTGATAGTAGCACAATCCTTTTGGGTTGCCGTCAAAACTAGCAACTAGACATGATGACTTTTGGAGAGAGATGTTGAATTTATTATTTGATTAATAAATTGAAATAAATGATTTCTTAATATATTATGAGAATAATATATTAATTTGAAATAGTAATAATTAATTAACATTTAATCAGAAATTAATTGGAGTTAATTTTAGGATTAAATGAATTAATTAAAAGTACAGGGGCTAAAGTGTAATTGTTCAATAGTTGAGCAAGATGTTCCAGAACCTTCCTAGAGAAGGCTTGGACGAAATATATATGGATAATCTAGGATTTCTTAATTATCCCACATGGATAATAAGGAGTTGGATAGTTACCAATTTGAATTAATAATATTATATTAATTAAAAACGCTTATGGACTCACCAATTTAATTGTTGACACTTTTCAAAATCATTTGTATTTTCAGGAGAACAGTAAACAGGTAATCAAAAGTTTTTGGTGGATGGGACGTCGTCGCATCACGCTATATATTTTGTCTTATGCATTTGATATCATGTAAAAAATGTTTTGAACATAATGTAAACTTCTTAAATATTCAATAAAATGGTTGTAATTCTTTGATTCATTTATATTTAACTGTTATGATACTGTACAATAACGTCATCTACCCCCAGATGTTTCTGCCGTTCCGGTTCGGGAGTGTGATACTTTCAGGCTGTGAGGTGAGTCTCCTCATTGTATTTGTGAGTCGAATGCACTAATGCTGGCCCACTGGGATTATGTGGTAGGATAGTAGTGGTCTTTGTGACGCTTACCGATATGCTTGTATATGCTTGCTGTCTTTGTGACTATTACTGGTATGATTATATGTTATATGTATGGAGCCAATCTAGGCTTAGAGTCATTATGGACTCGGGGTTTATACAGACCCGACACAACTACGTGTTGTTACATGGAGCCATTATGGATTCAGGGTTGATACGAACCTGACACAACCACTTGTTGTTATATATATATATATATATATATATATATATATATATATATATAGAGAGAGAGAGAGAGAGAGTTAGGTTCAAATGTTTTTAACAACTATTGTGTGCCTAAATGCACCAATGAAAATTCAAGAAATAATAAATTATTAAATAAACCATTAAAGGGTATTTTGGACTTTTTATGCTTTTAATTAAAGGAAATAATTTAATTGGAATCCTATAATTAAGGAAATAATAGAATATCACGTATCTGATCCCTTAAATCATGGTTCCTTCATCTTAATAACCCTAATTCTATATCAGAGTATACGATTATCTTCTTCACCCACCATATTCGAAATGTACAACCACGAGATAGCCACCTCCACCGTATACAAATACGTACCAACAGATCACACCACCGGCGACACCGTTGTTTTTCCCCTTCCAGCATCCAAACCCTAAATCTGAAACCGTAACCACTATCCTAGTTTTGGTCAATTAAGAAACCAGTGTTTGATTTTGGTTCCAATTTCCCTATGAACAAATCATTGTTCATCGTGTCACGCAAATAATCGAAGATGGTGTTGGCGGAATTAGGGGAGCATTTCACGTGCTCTCCAGCAGATGAGCAATGCCACGATCATCAATGAGAAGGTCCTTAATGATTGTTCAAACGAGATCACACGCGCTCTTCTGCAGGTATGTTTCCCCTTTCCACCGGAACCCTAATTTTATCTTCTTTCTTCTTCAAATCGTCTAAAAACTATGTTTCATCTTCAAACAGGAGGGCATATTAATCCAGCTGTGACATTCGATTTGTTATTAGCAAGAAAACTGTCGTTGACCAGGGCAGTGTTATACATGGTGATGCAGTGTCTTGGAGCGATCTGTGGTGCCGGATTTGTGAAAGGGTTTCAGGGTGATGCGCGGTACACAACGTTAGGCGGTGGTGCTAATGTCATCGCCCATGGTTACACCAAGGGTGATGGTCTTGGTGCTGAGATTGTTGGCACTTTCGTGCTTGTTTACACCGTGTTCTCTGCAGCTGATGCTAAAAGAAGCGCCAGAGACTCCCATGTCCGTGTATGCAACTCACTCCATTGACTATTGAATTATATACAGATATTCACTTTAGAAAAGGTGAGATTTTTATTTTGAATTAAATTTGAATGTGTTTATTGTAGATTTTGGCTCCTCTTCCAATTGGGTTTGCGGTGTTCTTGGTTCATTTGGCCACCATACCCATCACCGGAACTGGATGTTGCTTCTTTGGTGATTCATTGACTGTCAATCAAAAGGAAACACATGTTGAAACAGAATAAAAGTTAATTTAAAACTCAATCAGGTATCTTATTTTCTTTATTGATTACAATATTCTATTATCTAAGATTTGATCAGATAATATCTAGCAGAATTTAAGAATATTCTTTGTATTCTAGCAGAATTTCAGAATTTCAGGATTCAACATCCAAAAACAACAATATTCTTTCAGAATTCAAGAAGAAAACATGGAGAACGAGAGTATTCTAGCAGAATGTCGTTGACCAGGGCAGTGTTCTACATGGTGACTATTGAATACATCAAATTCTTTCAGAATTTCAGGATTCAACGTCCAAAAACAACAATATTCTTTCAGAATTCAAGAAGAAAACATGGAGAACGAGAGTATTCTAGTAGAATGTTGTTATTTTTTAAGAATGTTATTCATTTTTGTTGATATTCTTTTAGAATATTTATAACTATATTTAAAATGTATAAGATTTTTAGCCTGTAAGAATATGTATGAATTTGTATTTAAGTTCGGATGTATAAGAATATATTAGAACGTTTGTTATTTTTCAACATCTTATTCAAGAATTTTGTTTTTCTTCAATAATATTATATTAGAATAGAATAAAATTTTGAAAGAGTATCATTCTAACAAAAAATATTTTGATAGAATAAAATCGTTAAAAATTGAAATTGAATTAATTAAAAAATTCAGATTTTTTTTTAAACTAGGAGAATTAATCATCCCTAAAATTTCGAAATTTTCCTTTTATAAATGTAGTTAATTGTCCAAAATACCCTTTTGCTAAAAATTGTGTGATTATACGGTACATATTACCCCATTGTAATATCATACACTCTCAAATCATGTCCATTGATCAATTTCATCCGTTGGTCCAGATCTGTGCATTCTGGCACACAATACTTAGTAAAAACAAAATAACCTAGCCCTATATATATATATATATGTCGTATGTGGTAATTTGGGGAACTCATTAAGCTTTGTGCTTACAGTTTATGTTTATCATTTCAAGTACTTCCGTTTTCAAAAGGAAGGGCTCAGCCTGATCGCACTGTATCCCCTGGAGTTTTATTCCGCACTGAATGTTTACAAATGACTCTAATGTTTTAAGAATACTTTGACTCTTATTGTCTTTTGAAACAATGAATGAATGACTTTAACTTATTTAAAATGAAATTTTTATTCAGTATTTTTGGGATGTTACATTTCAGTTATACTATTAGATGTCTGTCTCGCATGATACAACAATCGAAAATGACTCTTTTAGACTATCGAACATTACTAGACATATCAATGCAAAATTTTACTTCATTTCTTCAAACTCAAGAGTATGTAACAACAGCATGATGCATAATGGAAGCTTTTCTATACTATTGAAAATTACTAGATCTCTCAATGTAAAATTTTACCTCATTTCTTCAAACCGGAGAGTATGCAACAACAATATGAAGCTTAATGAAAACCAAAACAAAATCTTATCTTGTATTTTGTTTTTTCTTTTTTGTATGTGTTGATGACGATATATATATACACCAAAATCATAACGGTCATTGTTACGATGATTAACTCGGTATTAAACACACATTTTATAACCGATGAAGGTGTTTAACAAACACCATTATGGTGTTTAACTCATTTTTAAACACACAAATTATAACGGAAAATATGATTAATTTGACAAATAAAATCAAAAATTGTGTTTAACCTTTTTAAACATTGATTTGATTTCTTCACCACCTGATCAAATATCAATATTTTTAACATCACTATTTAGGGATTACTTTTTATTATTTTGTCTAGACAAGACATGCATTTATGTTTAAAAACATATTTTTCAAAAAAGATATTAATAATTAACAACATAAATAATTTTTTGTTACGAAATGTTTTTATTTAAAATAAAAAACAACACCTTTATTTTATTTTGGTCGGCCAACAAAGAATCAACAACAAATCAAGGCACATGTAATTTCTGTTTTTATAATTTCTCGTTCAACGTCCTTACGACGCCGTATTCAACGAGTTCTCACTTAGCGGGTGACTATCGCTTACGCACACTGCAAAACGTTAAAACCAAATTCGACCGTCTTCCACGCCAGATCAACAACGAGAAAACCCCCAATTTCCATCGTTTTCGAGATCATATGCTTCAAATCCGATTCAACTATAGTCATATTCCTTCTCAAATCTAAGGTAACATCTTAACCTATAATTATTTTTAGGTTAAATCATGCATATTGAATGAAAACCCGAGGAAGATTTGATTTCAATGCGTTAGATCTAATCGGTTTATATCACGATCCACAGATATGGAAGATGATAATGATTTGGAGCAGGTCACGGGGAGTCCAACAGCTGGAGAGAATGGTTTTGTTCATATAGAGTCAGTTGATTCTGCTCAAATGGATGGCGGTTCAATTGATCAGGTGAGTCCAGTGTTTATTTAGTTAAATCTTCGATTCCATTATCAACGACTTTAGTAATCTTTAATTTTGGGGTAAATAGTATATTCTACTTGAGGAAATATAGTTGTGATACGATTTTTTGATGTCCAACTAACTAGTTTTCAACTTCAAAATCATCTCAATTCGAGAGCTTCCATGGAAAATTTGACAAATAGATTAAACTTATTACTGAAAGGTTTTACATTTACAATTTAGCACATATTTAATGGTTTATGACCCTTTCCCTTCTCTTGAATGATTTGCCAACACAGTTTCTCGAATTACTTATTGTATCTGTTGTACACTTGTATTATTCGTGTTGATAAGTTAAGATTAGCAAGCTATCTTCAGGTTGAGCGTCTTGAGCAGGATGATGGAGTAGTGGTAACAGGAGTAGATGCTGTACAGGATGAGCCAGAGCCACTTAATGTAAGGACAACTGAAGATGTGGGACCCGATGAGTTTGTAGATTGTCCAGATGACTTGGTTTCTAATGAAGCGAGATCCCCTGCTGTTGTCAATAGGCCACGCCAACTGCCATTTAGGGATGATGATACAGAAGTTACTCAACATACTGCACCTGACATTGAAAGGGAAATCCTTCCCCTTCCACAGGACAATGAGGTTGGCTATAACCTTTTCTTTTTCTTCTTCTTCTTCTTCTTCTTCTTCTTCCAATGCCATAGGGATGTTGCAATTGTAATAACTAAGCTTCTCTTGCAGGAAGAGAATGGAGTTCTGATAAAGGAAGTTAGAAATCTTCATCATCTGCTTAAAGCTCTAAGCAAGCAAAAGCAACTTACTGATGGGACTGATGTTGTAGAGGGTGGTGAAAAGTCTTTGTTGTCTTTGCATGAGATGGTAAAGGAGTGTTCCAATTTTATTGAGATTTCTTTGAATGAGCAGTCACATGCTGAGGCCACAATCAGTGAACTCAATGCCACCTTACATATGAAGGATAAAGAGATTGAGGATCTTATGGTGAGGGTCAATGACCACTCTATATCTCAAGATGTAGTAGCACTCAAGTCTGATGAATTATCATCTGTTGTTGCCATTGTAGATAGGATTTTATATTCTTTTGCACCTGCCTTTGGCGATGCAGGATTGTCTAATACATCTGTTAGTGAAAAATTATCTCATCTTGAGAGAACTACCTCCTTCTTACTTGAGAAGTACTACAACTTGCTTTCTGAAATCGAATCATTTAGCCATTGTTTGGCTGAGGTTAAGCCAGATTTCCAAATGCAAAATGGAACAGAGACAGTTTTCATCACTGTACGAGAGGAGTTGCTTGAGTTAAAAAGGAAAGAACTTGAGGTAACCAACAAAAATACCCATTTAGAATATCAATACGGACAGTTCATGGAGCAAATTGACAAAAACAGAGAAACAATTGAGCTTCTAAACACAGAGATCACAAAACTTAAAGGGGAAGTTGAACAGGAGAAGACAAGGTATACTAATACCAAAGAAAAACTTAGCATGGCTGTTACAAAAGGAAAGGCATTGGTCCAACAGCGTGACTCATTGAAACAATCAGTTTCTGAAAAAACCAGTGAACTAGAAAGATGTTTGACTGAACTGCAAGAAAAGTCAACTGCCCTAGAGGCTGCTGAGTTTAGGAATAATGAGTTGATGCAGACTGCATTTTTGGCTAATTCGCTACAAGAAGCTCTTACACAAAGAGACATGATCCTTCAAAGATGTGGAGAAATTTTATTGCTAAGTGGTGCTGCAGCTGAACTTCAGTCATCAGATATCATTGAAGGTGTTACATGGCTTGCAAATGAAAGAAGTAGACTTGCATCCCTATCTGTTGAATTTGAGAGACTCACTTATGCATATAATCTGGCTCAAGATCATTCTTTTAAGCTACAAGATGAAAATCATGCAACAATGGAGGCTGCACGTGTCCAGATTGATCGTTTGACTGCATCATTTTTAGCAGAATCACAGGAGAAGTATTATCTTAAGCAGGAGTATGAAGATTTGACAACCAAGTATGAAGAATTAGAACAACACATAGCTTCTACTGAATCATTGCCTATGGACAATGAAGTACTTGAAAAGATTCAAAATCTTTTGTATGTTAGGGATCATGAATCCAAGCTGTATGAGCAAATTCTTGAGGAAGAAAAGATGCATAAGTTTCAGTTTTCTGAAGAACTTCGTGGATCAAAAGATGAGAAGAACACTCTGCAAATAAATCTTCAAAGATCCGAAGAGAAAGCCTCATTATTGAGGGAGAAATTGTCTATGGCAGTTAAAAAGGGCAAGGGACTTGTTCAAGAACGTGAGAATATGAAACAACAAATGGCTGAAAAGAACACTCAGATTGAGGGGTTAACTCTCGACTTACAGAAACAAGAATCAACATTGAGTGAATACAGGAACCAGATCAATAACTTGGAATCTGATCTCCTGCTTTTGAAAGAAGAAAAGGGTCAACTTGAACAGTTTTTATATCAAAGCAATAGCATGTTACAGAATGTACTTGAAACAATTGATGGTGTTTTTCTGCCAGTTGATCTAAAAGAGCCAGTTGAAAAGGTGAAGTGGTTAGCAACATATTTAAGTGAAACCCAAGTCAGCAAGGCACAAACAGAGCAGGAGCTAGAATACATAAAAGATGAAGCTGGTATGTTGACCAGTAAGTTGACCGAAGCATTGACAACCATGAAATCCCTTGAAGATGCAGTATCAGTTTCAGAGAGAAAATTTTCTCAATTAGCTCAAGAAAAGAACGAATTAGACATTTTAAAGACAAACTCAGAACAAGAAGTACAGATTCTAAATGAGGAGATCAGCACATTGAACAACAAGTTGGTGGAAGTATTGACAAACTTGAAATCACTTGAAGATACACTCTCAAACTCAGAGAAAACCATCACTCAACTAACTAAAGAAAAGATGCATGTTGAAGAGGAGTTACATAAAGCAATAGGGGAAGCTACTTCTCAAACAAACAGGTTTCAAGAAACCTCTGCCCATAAAAACTCCCTTGAAGAGGCACTTTCACTTGCAAAAAACAACATACATGTGCTCATGAGTGAAAAAGAAGAGGCTCAAGCTAGCAAAGTTGCTGTTGAAATGGAGCTACAGAAAGTTAAGGAGGAAGCTTCCACACATTCCATTAATCTAGATGAAGCTTACAAGACTATAAAGTCCCTTGAAGATGCAATGTCACAGTTAAAGACGAATGTTTCTCAGTTTTCACAAGAAAACGAGAAGGCATTAGATAGTAGAAGTGTATTAGAGAGTGAGATAAAGAAACTCAAAGAAGAAGCTGAATACCATAAGAACACTGTTTCTGATCTTGTTGGGGAAAAGAAGAAAGCTGAACAGGATATTTTGACCCTCAAAACTGAGTTAAATACATGTAATGATAAATGGGGTCAAGAGCTCTCTAGGTTCTTAGGAAATCTTCAAGTGCTGTTAAAGGATGAATCTTTATTCACTTTGTTCAAGAAAAGTTTTGAGAAAAAATTCGAAAGCTTAAAAGAAATCGACTATGTTCTCAAAGACATAAATGGTAGTTTTGATTCAGAACAGTTTCAAGATCATCGTTCAATTGAGGTAATAAATAATATCATCAGTTCTTACAATTTTAGTCGTTTAGTTTCATGTTTTTTTTTCTCTTTCATCTCATTTCTTATGATTTACAGGAAAGTTGGGATGCTGGATTTGGCAATGATTGGAACATTGGGATGCTTGAAGAGTTGAATGCAGAAGATAGGGAGGGTATTATTATTGGTTCAGATGTTGGAAAAACTTTGGATAAGTTAATTGCTAGAAACCAAATTCTTGCTGATCAATTTGGTAGTTTCTCAATACTGATTGATGACATGATTGCATCTTTGTTGAAAAAACTGGAGGTAATAAAGAATACCATGCCATCTTTGGTTAAGCAAACAAAAGAATTAGAGGGTGAATTAGAGAAAGCTAGATTAATGTATGATAAAGCCAAAGAAGAAAATGATGCATACCATGGAAAGGTATTTAAATTGGAGACAGAATTAGAAGCATCTAGAAACATGTGCAAAGAGATAAGCTCTAAATTAGTAGATTATCGGACAAAAGAGGAGAACTGGAATGAAAGAGAAAGGGAGTTGTCTACTGCTCAAAGTACTTCCTCCATTAAAGATCATGGTAAACTTTTTTTTTTCTTATTATAATCATACATTCATTTCATTATAATTTCTAGTTGATGAAAGTCATACACTCGGGTAGTGTTTGGTATGTGATGGAATCAAGGTAAACGTGTTAATTTTTATCATAACATATTTGGGTTTTAATATGTTTTTATTATCTGTATTGTTAATATATACCCCGTTTTCGTTTATGTAATCTTCAACGACACAAATATTTTGAATTTTCATTTATAATTTTACTTAATTTTCAAGTTTCTTTTTTAAAATCAACGAAAAAGTGTTATCCTTTATTGGTTTTCTTTAATTTATATTTGTAAATAAAAGTTGATCAACTATAGTTAAAAATAATTTACAGAGTTAAAATTACACATTCCATTCATTTTTATACATGTTGATTTTGTATTTCAGAGGATGAGGGTGTTTTATCAGCTTCAGAGATAAACAGGCTATTTGACAAGATAGATGGAATCCCAATCCCTTTCCCTTTCTCAAACCTTGTAATTTCAGAATCCTTGGACCCTGTAAAAAAGCTGTTTTACATAGTTGATAGTGTAAAGGAATTACTAGAGCAGATAACCCTATTGTCTCATTCAAAAGAGGATCTTGTCTCAAAACAAACCCTAGAAGTTGAGCATTTGAAGGGGGAGTTATCTTTAGGGTTACAGAGCATTATTCAGAAGTTTGGAGGCGAGGAGTATTCTGGAGTCAAGAAATCTGCTGCTGACGTGGCAGGACTGGTCCCGGTGTTAGAGAGGCTCATTCAGGGTATTGTTCTGGATGGGGAAAATTCAAGATTTAAATTGATGGAGAGCCAAAGGGTAAAAGAGGAATTAACAAACAGGGTTAAATTGCTTGAAGATTATATTGAAAATAGGACAGGTGTACAGGATAAGATACAGGAAAGAGGAGGTTCATTGCCTGCTGGATCAGAGATATCAGAAATTGAAGATCAGGTATGTTATCTGTTTGGAGTTGGTTAATGCTGTATTGTATACACAAAGTAGAAGATGGTTAATTGACGATTTTACCCTTGTATTTTTTTTTTTTTTTGTTGGTACAGAGCCCAGTTGGGAAAGTAGGGGGGTTGCCTTTAGTGCCATCTGCTGCCCAGGTGAGATCCTTACGAAAGGGATCAAATGACCAGCTTGCCATTACCATTGATTCAGAATCTGAACGTTTGCTTAGTAATAAATCCGAATCTTTTGAAGATAAAGGTTTGTTTTTTTTTTTGATAAATAATAACTTGTTCCCTTACCCTTGGGTCACTAGACAGATTATTTGGGAAAATTTTGTTTTAATTGAAAAGTGTTGAATTTTTGAAATACTTTTCAGGTCATATATTCAAATCACTCAACACATCGGGTCTTGTCCCAATTCAGGGGAAAATGATTGCAGATCGAGTCGATGGAATATGGTAACTATTTTAACTTACTTTAAGGGTTTTTTTTTTTTTTTTATTTATTTATTTATTTTAACATTAAATCACTGTTAGGGGTTTTTGGAAAGGTCAAATCCAACTTTTTAATCATGTTTTATGTTTTTAATATTTTGGCTCCTAGATTTAATTACATTTCATCTTACACTCTGGATAATAATATATTTAAATATGAAATCTTTATTATATTTCAATTAAATATACATAATAAAAGTGAATATTTTTTATACAAATTTGTATTAAGTAATGTCTATTCTGAAAATACGAGGCATGCTTAAAAAATGTCAAATTATTTGCTACGCATTTAGTTTTTATTTCTGTTAGAAGTAATAATAATAATAATAATTTGTATTATTTTTATTTATTTTATATTACAATAATTTTATAACAAAGTATCTAATTTTATAACTTTTCAAGTTTCCAACTTTCTAATATTTATGTTTTTGTAAAATTTAAAAATATACAGTTTATATATAAATTTATTTTTTATGAAGTCAAACAAACATTTTAGTTTTATTACTTAAAAATCATTTGGTGATACTGGATTTAATTTTGTTATCTGTTATTTGTTATCTGTGTGTGCAGGGTATCTGGTGATCGGGCTTTGATGCGTCGACCTCGGGCAAGGTTGGGGCTTATAGTGTATTGGATTGTGTTGCACCTATGGCTTTTGGGCACTATTTTGTGACCATTATGATTACATCATACATGTACAAGTAGGTGCCAACTTTACTTTTGAGTGTTTTTCTTTTTAATTTTTAATATTAATTTTTTTAAGAGTTGATGTAGATGTAAAAAAAAAAAAAAAAAATTAATAGTTAATTGTTCTTTTGATTCTCTGAAATCAGATTTTAGGGATTCAGAGAATCCATAACCATAAGCCTCCATGTTATTGGAGAATGTTCCGGTCTTGTTTTTATATCTAAATCTGGTTTTCTGTTAGGCACTTTACTTTGACTGATATGTAATATGTAGTGCTATGTTTTTAAATTTTACATATTTGATCTCTTGAAGATAAATATAACCTAAAATGGTTCTTTTTTTTTTTTTTTTTTTAAAGTATATATCACGATAAATAACATTGTGGATGAAAAGCAAGGAAGTAAAGTTGTAACCACTTATGTGTGCGATAATAGGAATCATGTGAATTGCAAAATAAAATGTCGTTATCAGAAAAATGTGACATTTACACAAAATTTTATTGTCAGAGAATAGTAACATGTACTCTTTTTAGTGTGGTGTGCTTTCTTTTATACATCACATGTCATTGAACAATAGAAAAATATTCCACTAAAGTTATTTTTTAAATTGGTTGATTGTGTTCTACATGTTAATTTTATTAGTTGATCTATGTATTTTTTTTGGGGGGACTTATGCTGGATTTTTGAAATGTGATTTCGAAAGTCATAAAATAAAAACGATATTTTAAAATTTGTCAACATTTAAATCTTATTTTTTTTCCCACTATCTTACGACTTTCAAAAAATAAATTGAGCATGTGACATACATGACATATGGAACTAGTTAAAATAAGCGTATACATAAATGTCAACTAATCAAATTAACATGTACGACCATTTACCAATTTAAAAAAGAGAAAATTTTTAAAACTAACCTAATCTTCTAATGGCTTAACCCAAAATAGCAAAAAAGATTGCATTTATCGAAATAACCATACAAAAAACATGCAAGTCAACTCAATTATGATTTCGTTTACTTCATCTTCTTAATTACATTGATCAGGTATCTAACATCATCATTAACAACTATGGCTGTATAATACTATATTTCAAAATGTTGGAAAGTAAAACTAATATTAGATTTATCTAACAAATAATTCTTTTTTTCATCAAATATAAAAATCCACTAAAATTAATAATCCCCCGAAAATATCACACCGAAATTGAATATTCTAGAAATCCCCCTCCCAACCGGTAGCCAAACATATGTAGTTGAGAATCATATCACATCTCCCGCTAGTTATAACCACAATGGAATATTCACTAGAGCTACACCAAAAAGTAAAACTAATATTAAAAAAAAATTGTCTTACATTTATTTCATACATATACTAGTAAAATTGCAGAAATTATATTAAAGATGTTAGAAATCGTAGTCAAAATATAAAAAATCGTAATTAAACTTACATTTGGATCATAAAAAAAATAGTTGAGGAAACCGCAGATGGCCATATGACATCTGCAATTTCTTCGGTTAAAAATGAAAAAAAATATATTTTTTATTATTTTTATAGCGTATTTGAAATCACATGTGAGCAGATGATGCATGCTAGTTTCATCTGCGGTTTTTTTTGGTTATTTTCGGCTAAATGCTATTTTTAGTTATTTATGAATGAGTCGTTAGAAGATCACACTATTTTGTAGATTTATCTTAAAAAATAACTTTAACGGATCATAATTTTATATTCAATCGCATAATATAAATCGAAATATTTGTAAAAACGCATCACTTTGTATGACATTATCCTCACATAAGACCTTCGACATCAAGACATTGCAAACATACTTGCAATGCCACCTCACCAATTTGAAATGCTACATATGCTTTTGTCTTTCACCATTTGAAAGGTTTGCAAGTTGATTTTTATTATTTTTTTAATCAAATGATATTAATTAAATATCAAAACCAATTTTTTTATATATATATATATATATATATATATATATATATATATATATATATATATATATATATATATATATATATAGATAGATAGAGAGAGAGAGAGAGAAAGAGGGAGAGAGAGAGAGAGGTGGGTTCAATTGAGAAAATAAAAAAGGTTGAGAATATGGGAATCATTCTCAGTCACCCATTTAATCTAAGCATAAAAAACACAATGACAAACTTATAAATATCGTAATAACATTCAATCTCAAATACGTAACTATAGAGAATTCGATAACAGTTCGTTCATTATCAAAATTTTTCCTTCAACCTTCAATAAGCATCCAGATTTCTTCAACTAAACCATAATTTCTTCGTTGTTCATGAAATTGGAATTGGAGTTCTAGACTCGCAGTCACAGTCGACATTGAGGGACTCAGAATCGGTACTCACAGGTTCCCAATCGGATTTTCGGAAATCAAAATCAAAATGAGAAATCGATCAGACATAGGATGTCGCATCTGAAGTCGAAATTGGAAGTATATGATGATTTGGAATTGATAACTTGATGTTTTTAACATTTTTAAAATAGTTAAGTTGTTTGCACTCCAACTGTTTGATGAAATGCATAAACTAAATTGCCACGTTATATTCACATATGAATATGTTTTCTCACCTGAATCAGTATATGATTATTAAAAACACAAAACAAATATGCAAATCTATATTATTCATATGTGAATAACATATAAAAATTATATATATATTTGTCAAAATACCTTCAAATATTCATAAGTGAATATACCTTGTAATATTCATATGTGAATATATTGTGTAATATTCATAAGTGAATATATCATCTAATATTCACAAGTGAATATACTATGTAATATTCACATGTGATATACCATGTAATACTATGTAATATTCACATACAAAATATCATTTAATAATCATAAGTGAATATACCATCTAATATTCACAAATGAATATACTATGTTAATATTCACAAGTGAATGCATCGTCCAATATTAAAATATGAATATACTATGTTTATTATATGCTATATTCATATATGAATAATACTTAAATTGTAAAAAAAAATCATACTTTTTATTCATAAATGAATAACGAATGTACTTTAATAAAACCTGATGCATTTTTATTCACTTATGAATAACAATAGCTGAAAATATAAAAAAAAAAAAAAAATTATCTTAAAACTATATCAATATGGATGTCTATTTGTAAAGAATAAAAATCATGAATTTTGGTATATTTAAAATCATTTTTTGATAAAAATAGCTTATAAAAATTAAAAAAAAAAAACGAAAAAAAACTATGTTTTTGTATATATTAAGGTAATGATTAGCATAGTTTAAGGAAATATGTTTTGTTGGAAAACACATGTGCATTCCTTTCCCATTTCCGCCGGTACGTGGAGGCTTTTGCGGCAAAAATAAATGATTGACTGAGAATGATTCCCTCATTCTGGACCTTTTTTTTTTCTCAATTGAACCCTCCCCTATATATATATATATATATATATATATATATATATATATATATATATATATATATATATATATATACCTCCTTTTTCAATTACAAATTAATTTGGAACCAATATGATGATTTGGATGATGAATTTTCTAATATTCGGATTTTCATGTTTTAAACAAGGTTGTCAAGATCGGGATCCTACCTATGATTGTTTTTTAGTTTGCAATATCGGGATCGAGATCCTAAGATCTCACAAAATAGAAAATAATTTTAATTTATAATATTTACCCATAGGAAATATTTCAAACATTTAATTTTTTGTTCAAAAGTTAAAAAAAACTTCAAAATATTAATCATAAGTCACAATAAAAAAATGATAAATGGTATATTGGTAAGGGTAAAAAACATAAAATGGTAAAAGAAATATTTCATTTGCAAAAAAAAAAAAAAGAAAGTAAGATCGGATCGGATCTCGATCATACGATCTTACGATCCTACCTGCGATCCCACCCCAAATACGATCCTTTTACGATCTGAATCGTTTTTCATACCTAGGATCGTAGGATCGTACGATCAGGATCGCGATTTTGACAACCATGGTTTTAAATGTTTTTATTTGATTTATAGATATTTATAATTATGTTATTTTATTTATTTACTTATTATTATTATTATTATTATTATTAATATTTATGATATTTTTAAAGCAAAAATATAAAATGGTTGGCGAGGTGGTAGTCATGGTGGGCGTTGAGGGGGGGGGGGGGGCAAAGTGGGCAGCTGCATAGAGCCAATTTTTTCATTATATATTTTTATTTAAAAATATAAAATTATAACAAAGATAATGATTATTTTTTCTTATTCGTTTTAGGCCTTTGAGAATATTTAATTTTTCAGGACCGATCCTGGTGGTAGTGAGGACCACTTTTGAAATATAAATGATATTGTAATGATGTAGACGTAATTACAAAGCTAATGTGACACATTTGAAAAACTAATTAGCATTGCTCGATTGTAGATGACTTAAGACAATAAATTTATTTTATATATATATATATATATATATATATATATATATATATATATATATATATATATAATCAAAATGACAAAAATACTTTCAATATTTATATTTATACAAACAAGATAACGATATTTTTTTATTTGGAACCTACGGATTTTATAAAACCACAACCAAAAAATAAAAAAAGATTGGTCAAAAAAGAGAAAAACAACTTACGTCAAAATGAAAACAATACCAAAACTCCCTTTTACAATTACCAAAATTATCGAGGTTTTAACCAACTAAACAGCCAATTTAAGGCGGTTGATATAAACATTCTTGAACCAAGCATTATTTCTAGCTTTTCGTAACAGATGGCAATTAACAATATTTCTACTTTTGATTTTTTTATCTTTTGGACAATTGGATTATACGTTTATTTTGAGAAAATGCTAAACCTTTTTTGGTCAATGGTCAAACTTGGGAATGGACTAAAGTTGAACAATATATGAACTTAACTTTCAATTTTCCAATAACAACAGCGCTTCTCCGATCAAGAGTCGCCGGCGGTATCCGTTTGCCGCCGTATGCCTGTGCAAGATGACTAGCTGCGATGTCATAGGCGGTTGTCCCAGCGACTACGTTGCTCTTTCCGTTTCTATCATCTCTTTCGTCTCGTACGTCTCTTTTTCCCCCAATTTGCACATATATTATACAGGAATGTATGCAATTGCGCTATCTCGTTTGCTTATTTGGATGAAGATT